ACAAGACAATTTCAATATAGATACTTCGACAGTTTGCTCAGGCCATTTCATTAAATGACTATGAAAGAGATTTACAGCATGAGTTATTGAGTTTTTTTTTCTTGTCAATATCTGCTGTTCTGTATTCTCGTTTTATTATGTAGAGTTGAATTCACTATTGACCATTTTTCAATTGAATACAAACAAGGTGACCGAAAGGGTTAATCAATATGAAAAACAACAAAAGTGCCGCGAAAACATTTATTTATTTTTTTTATTTATTTTTTTTTTTATTTATTTTTTTTTGCGGGGAGGCGGCAGCGGCGGCAGCGGCGGCAGCGGCGGCAGCGGCGGCAGCGGCGGCAGCGGCGGCAGCGGCTTCTTCTCGCTCCGTGTATACTCTTCTGAAAAAAAGAATGCTACTTAAATGATAATAAAAATAGCTACTTAGGTACATACTCATTGTATATCGCCACCTGCCGGCGCCGCTCCTCCCCTATATCCGGGGTTTCGGCACGTTCGTACTAAAAAGGACACGCACTATTAGTGTAGGAAAGTTAGATGTCAAGGTTGAAAAAATTAAGCATTTTCTAATGAAAATGTACGAGGAATGACTTCCTAAACAACATAGTAAAAGTCCCATCAAATAGGACGATGGCAAGTTGCGGAATTAAATTTCAAAATTTCAAAATAATTTTTCTGAATATTTTTTGTTTAATGATATCGATTATCAGGAAACAAATTTTAGTTGAAAGAAGACACTCTACATACCTAAGTTTTTTCAATATTTAAACATTAATTAAGTTATTCTGCTGCTACATTTATTGATACATCAAAATTTGTACTTAAAGAAAATGAAATATGGAAAAAACTGCAGTATTTCTGTTTCACTAAACAAATGGTTACCATCGCACTTCATACAGGTTGCGACACCTCCTGAGAGAACTATTTCAATATTAAGTCCAGCAAAAATTAATAACTCCTTCGCAAAAAATCATATATATTACCTACAAAATTAAAAAAAACCTCGAAAAAAATCACAAAATTATCGATAACTCGAAAACAGTAAAGAATCGGACAGGTGTTTGTATAAATTTATTTGTTGCAAATCACCTCCCCTATCTTCTGTTTTAATTTTATCCATGACCTTTGGGACACCCTGTATAATTTTTTCAGATGTTTGGACAAAATTCCGACAACTTCATTACATTAATTAAGAGTAAATTAAAAAATAAAAATAACTCACCTCATACAGCTCTCTTCTATTCATGATGTGTCGCTGTTGTCGCTGTTGACTAAAGAATGGTAAATGAATGATGTGAAAAATTGTAAGAATTGCAGTCATCAGGATTTTTCAAACGGATACATTAAGATAAGTTTTTGCTTACTTTGCGTCTACAATGCGTGGGCATGTTGAAACGAAGATTTATCCAATGGTTCCTATCAGTGGCGGCTCGTCGTATAAAGCAACTGAGGCCGGGCTTCAGTGGCTTCACATGTAAAACTTATCATTATGATGTAGAATTTAAAACTTTGAAATACTAATTATTACATAAAATTTTTCTTAAAACTATTCTCGGTCATTAAAAGTATCAAAATATCGAATTACCAACAAAGTTTTAAATTCTATCATTTCACTTAAAAAACCGCAAACAAATTTCACGTAGTTTTTACTGATAAAAAAAAAATAATAATCCACCTTTTCCTATCGAAAGATGGCAAGCTGGTTTAATTTGGTTTTTGGATAATTTTTTAAGTCACTTCCACATATGGAAATTACACGAAATTTGGTAATTTTTTGAGGTATTTCAGTCATCTTTGAGCGCCCATAAAAAACTCACCCCTGGGGCTAGAGACTCAAACTTTTCACCATTTTGTAGAACGTACCTTTTCTAATGAAATGGCACTAGGTGCAAATAGATGTGAGGTTGAGACATTTTTTTCTCAAATTTATAGCAAAGGTCTACATCGCGTCAAACCAGCCGACCATTAATTCGCGAAAAATTGACAAAAATCGGAAAAATTCCGTGATTCTGATAAGTGATTCGATATTCGCACCCTCAAATTAGTACCTAAACGTATTTTTAGCCCAATCTGTGACTTGAAAAAAATCGACCATTTTAACGACCTATCATATGGAAATTACACCAAATTTGGTAATTTTTTGAGGTATTTCAGTCATTTTTGAGCGCCCATAAAAAACTTACCCCTGGGGCTAGAGACTCAAACTTTTCACCATTTTGTAGAACGTACCTTTCTTTGAGCAAAATTGAAATTAATTTTTTTCGATAATATTATAATAATGATAAAGAATACAATATTTTTATTATTATTTTTTTTTTTTTTTTTAATGTTTTTTTCTTTTTACAATTATTATTTCAGGGTTACATATTTCCAAGTCGGCGTGGATCCTCTTCCTGGTAACCACCTTCACCTGATGGACTTCGGCCGGTGCCTCCTGGTCTTCGGCTGGAACTTCCTGGACTTCAGCTGCTGGTTCCTGGACTCTAGTTGGTTCTCTTCGTAGAACCAAGTCCTTGTGGCGGCGCATGATGGGCGCTCAAAGATGACTGAAATACCTCAAAAAATTACCAAATTTGGTGTAATTTCCATATGATAGGTCGTTAAAATGGTCGATTTTTTTCAAGTCACAGATTGGGCTATGATAGGACCGGTCAGTCATTCAATCCTTCATTCTTTCAAATTTTTTTTTAAATCAAAATTAGCAGTCAATAAATTTTTGTAGTAAAAATTTCAGAGGTACGACACGACGACTTCCCGTTCCTACTTATTAATAATTATTTTTTTACCAATTAGCAAAGAATGGAAAGCAGGAGGCCGGGGCATGTGGCGAGAAGCCCCATGCAGTGCCAGTGCCCCGATCTAGAAACGGCAGCGGGGCGGCATCTAGCCAAGCATGGGGTCCCACATGTAAGAATGTTTTACATTTTTTACAACATTATCTAATTAATTTGTCGATTATTCATTTTGTTGCTTTCTTTTTTCTTTGTCATTCTTCTTCTCAAATAGGGGAAAAGAGGTTGTGAACTGTTTGTGTTCGCCGACCGTCTAAGTATTTGTGATGTTTTTTTTTTTTTTCGATTTTTTGATTCTCTTTAATTGTATAACATATCCCTAAGATTAAATTTAAAATATTGGGTACCTACATTTACAGCACATACAGATGTTTATAACATCTAGGTGCTACAAAATAAATCTTGTTTATTATGAATTTAATTAAGAGCAAATCCTTACAACTTATTGTGAATCAAAACTTGTATGTATGATCAAATAAAATCTTCAAAATAAATAAATCTAGATCTACATATTATGTATGTGTTACGGTAAAAGTAAGCAATAGGTAAATGTGTACATATGCCGGTAAATGCTTACATTTACCAATTCGGTTGGACAATGTGGACATAAATCGAAAAATTAAAGGTTGTGTTAACTTTGACCGGAAAATGTAAACAGTTACCAATGCATGTTGGGAAAAGTATACATCAAAAATTAACACCTAAAGCAGTTATACATCTATATATCTATATATTATGTAAACTCGAGTGTAAACTTAAAAATAATACAAATGTATGTAATAAAAGGGTTTTAATAAAATTTAGGTACTTATTCTTGTTTACAGGCCCTAAACATATTGAACGAGGTGGCGGCCCGCATCGGCGCCATTGAAGAACAGGCCGTTGTGGTGGGGGCGGTGGTTAGGTCGGCGGTAGTCGCTATGTCGGCGGCACACCGGACTCCTGCCCAACAGAAAGCTATTTCGACCGCCTACACCACGGTGGTGAGGAACCATCTTGGTCTCTTTCAGTTAATTTACAACGAAGAGGCCAAGATGATTCATCGCCGCCTGGTGGAGGTGGCTGACGGGCAGGGGTTCCAGGAGCCCCATGTTCCGACCCCGCCGGACTCACCACCACTAGCACCACCACCCAAAAGGCGGCGGGTGCGGGCCGACCAACTAGCTAGGTTGGAGGCGGAGGCATGGGGGCGGCGGCAGCAAAATTTTTAATAATAATAATAATAAATCTTACTTTTCGATTTTCCTTATTTTTATTCCTGGCTCTTCTGATATTTTTATTATAAATAAATAAATCCTTATTGTCTAACAGGATAAATCCCAATTACAAGACAATTAAAATTAGTAGTAAAAACAGTTATTGCAAACTTAAATTAAGTAGGTACACTATTTTCTGACGACCCTGTACATGTTATTTTAAGTTTTAATAGTTTAATACTATTGTTTCAAGAAGCAGAAACTTTTATAAGGAATAACTTTTTTTTGTAAAAAAAATTTCTAAATAAATAAAAAAAAAAAGACTTATTTACAAAATATTTATTAACTACACATACAAGTTATTCAAGTAGGTAAATCAAAAAGAGCTTTATTGTCCAAAAAATTATGTAATTTCCATTGACAAAACCAAAACAAAATTCTAAAATTAATTTCCTATATCCTAAAATGTATATTAAGTTAAAATAAAGATGTCAATGTCGAGAGTATAAATAAGACAAGCAATAAAATTATACATATTTTATAAGGTACAAGTGTGTTCAATTTCAGTGGCATGCAGACGCTTCAATGCATGCCACTAAAATTGAACACATTCTAAATTATATAACAGACAATAAAATTTCCAAAAAAATTATAAAGTACCTTCCAAATCAGCTTCACATAAAATGTGGATCATTTTTGAAAAATAATTAGTTTTTATTTTTTCTAACATGTTTCTAGCGAAATGATGATCAAATATTACTTTAATTATGATCGAGCTATCATCATATGAAGCATACAAACACAAATAACACAAATCAACATTAAGCATGCTCATCCCAAGTTGTATTTGCCCATAATATTTATGCCTTTTCCTGAGAGTGTACTCGTCACTGTCTTTCACAATATATGAGCAAGACATCAACGCTTCCTCAATTGTTGTTGAAGCACCTGCAACAAAAATTCATTTTTCTTAAATTGTTTTTACATGCATTTTCAAATATTTACCAGCTTACAAACATTTTATCTCCAAGAGTGCTGTGGGTTGCCCATTATTCAAGACTATACCATCTGGTGAAAACCCCAACCATTTATTTCCAGAGGAAGTAATCATCCCACATTCCACCACTGTTTCACCTGTTTTAGTAATGAATGATGCTCTAGCCATATTCTCAAATTTCAACCCATGTCTGATAAATTTATTTGTGATGCTTTTCGGCCAAAAATATTTCTTGCTTTTCATTTCCCAATCAGTTCCACCGTACGTAAAGATTTCGTAGCATCTTGAACCAGTAATCCTGAATTTTCTGGCCTTATGCCATTCAGGGGAGCTTTGACATAGGGAAATTGTTTCAATAACTTCCTCATTCAAGATTTTATTGAACATTTGCTCACAGCAACTTGATGGAAAATCACACTCATAGGATGAGACTTCCATCATGATTATGGACTGAGAGGCATGGTCTAGAATGCTTTTATAATTGTCTTCAGTTTTATCTGTGGTATCAGGTTCATCAATAATGCCTACTGGTTTTCGTCCTTTTCTAAAATAAATTTAAAAGAAACTTGTTAAAACAATACATTTTCCTAAAAATTATGAAACACTAACCTGTGTTTTGCAATTGCTGAATTAGGCAAATTTTGGGTGAAATATTCCAAAATTGACTCATCATCAGGGGCTGCTACCACCATGCGGGATTCCTTGTTTTTGATGCAAGGCATTTTGCTAGTGGGTATCGCCTTATACTCTTTTCTTTCACCGCACTTTTTGTAGTTGACCAAGTTGACCAATCAAATCGGTTTTCGAAATGTTTTCAAGTTCTAGCAAATTTTTCCTGAATAGAAAAAATTGAAAAAAAATTAATAAAGAGTCTAATAGTAATCTA